TCCCTCTACCTCTGGTCCTCCTTGTTGCTCCACTGTCTGCACCCAGAGAGGCCGCTCGTCCTCAGTGTCTCCCTCTTCAGTGCCCTGTGACCCCGGCGCAGCCTCGTGGCCCAGCAGCGGTGGAGAGGAATGTACAAAACACACAAAACAGAGGAGAGTGAGAAAATATGAGTCTGACACCCTGCGAGGGGTCCTGGTGTTTTTCTGCCTTTGGGCTCCGACCCTTTTGAATAGATTGGCCCTAAAAGGCAATAAAAACAGAAATGTTTGTCATTAACTGGAGTCAGTGGCGAGGGATTTAGAAAAAACATGCGTCTCCTCGGGGGCCCTTCATTTTAGAACGCTGTTACATAAAGGTTAAGTTCCCATATTTACGGCACAGATTCTCACTCAGCCATGACTCAGTAACAGAGTTGGTGGAAACTTTACTCCACTTTATGAGAGACTTCCACCTTTTCACGCTACATTTTTCAAACCAGGACGGGTAGACTTTGGGGCTAATAAATAAGATGAAATATTTGTGCTTGAAATTCTCTGAGAAAATATAGAGAATTTAAAAAAATTGTTGCAAAATGTAGCAGGTTTTATAGCGACATTAATGTTAGCCTGAAGTGAAATAAGATAAGATTCTGCTACAACCTCTCATACATTCTCATACTGCCGATATTTATTAGCTAAAATATAGTCATATTTAATATATGAAACATAAATACCCAGTATTTAGTATCCATCAGGGTCGACCGTACCCTCTTCAGTCCCGATATCCTTATGTTTGTGTGTGAACGTTAGTAGAAGCTCTGACCTCTTCCTGATGTTCTCAGTCACATGGTCACACGTCACAGTAGGTTCATTTCCTTCTGCATCATTAGCCGAATCAGCCACAGATCAGAGGATCAGTCTCAGCTCTGTGACGCCTGGCCTTCAGCAGCGACGGTGCCAGGGCCCCAGTTTGACCCACCTGATTGTCACACTTGTGTTTCAGCGACCTGAATGGCTCCTTGTGCACGGCGTGAGTCTTTGCTTTATTTGGCCTTCAGCCGTCATCATTTATATCAGCAGCACAAATGATCCACAGTGGCCGAGGAACACGGCCATAAAAGTCTCAGATTGAGCTGCACACGTTTTAATGCCGACTGTGATTGTGAATTACTCCTAACCGGGCGCCAAGGCCTTCTTTTAAAACCCCCCGGTTCAATGTTCACTCTGTTTTTCACCCCTCTCACTTGTTCATTCATTGTGCGCTGCCCGGGCACACCTTCCCCAGTGAGTGATTTGCCTCTGGATCGCTCTTGTATTCTGCAGCGCAGCCGACTGTTCATCATTCTGTCAGCGGTTACTGCGGGATAATGCTTCAGTGTCGAGAGCAGTTTTATTTTAAATTCAGACGACATTACAAAAGCCCGCCTGGATGCAACAGAGGGGAATTCGAAGAGAGCGACGAAAATCCGCACTTCTGCACTCGACGCAAGGACAACGAGGTCGTACATTCCAAACTGACGGCACACCGGACGAGGTCTTGCACTCAATCATCCCCTCCACTGAACAATAAGGCGTGTACTGTACTGTGGAGGACTCCGTCCACAGATGAGATCAGCCTGGAGTCAATAACTGCTGGTGTTGAACCTGAGCCTCAGCTTA